AACAACAAATTTTTGCATTAAATAATTAACTTAAAAAAAATCAAATTTCATAGTTTAATAAAGGGCTTAAAAGCTTAACCCAATCATTAAATAGAAAAACCCTTATTTACATTATTCGGACTATTGTCCTTGTCTTTTTCGCCATATCTATCACAACGTTTCGGCCGTTGTACACTCCGGCCGTCTTCAGGTGGTTGGAATGTCGAACCGAACCCTTTATTTCGCTCACTGGGGCAGACTGTTCTAGTTCCACGTGCCATGTTTGATGAATGTCAGTTATCAGTTACAGGACCCAAAGAGTGTGAGTTCAATACCCGGTTAAGGCAGTGGAGAACTTGAAGAGGGGAATTAACAGGAGATAACTGATAACTAGCATCAATTAAAACATGGCACGTGGAACTAGAACAGTCTAACCCAGTGAGCGAAATAAAGGGTTCAGTTCGACATTCCAATCACCTAAAAAAAAGGCTGGAGTGTACAACGGCCGAAACGTTGCGATAGATATGGCGAAAAAGATGAGTATAATATTCCGAATAATGTAAATAATGTAAATAATACCTCATCTCAGAAATATAGACAGACTCAGAAAAACCCTTTATGATGTCGTCAAAAAAACAAATTGTAGTTCAGTGCGACGCGTTTATATATGAAAATAAATAAATAAATAAAATAAAATAAAACAAAATTTTCCAGACACTTAACAACATACCATGGTGCCAAAATCTATCCTTCTCTGTGACTGACCAGACGATGTGCGTACATTAATGCCATCATTCGCTTTGAAATAGACACCCCCAACCTACCTCAGCTTGACCTCATCCCGAAGGTGACTGATATGAGGATAAAAATTAATTCTAAGACCCCTTATCAAAAATGGTCGCACCAGCCGTTTCCATAGTAACGAATGAACATGCTTATAAAGATGCATAAATTTCAAGATTGGTTATTCCTAAGTTTTCGCTTGAGGATGAAACAGGGCTTGTTACTTTAATTCATTTCAATTTTAATAATTATATTGAGGGTTTCGGCTCTGGTTTTTGAAAAATGAGAACTCTTATGTAGTGAAGGAATCATATTTTTTAAAAAAATAATTATAATATATATATATATATATAATGTGTGTGTGGAAAAAGTTTACTTTTACAACGTTTTAGCCTTTCAGTATCTGTCCATATTTCTGAGATGAGGTATTATGCACACTATTTACATTATTCGGACTATTGTCCTCCTCATTGTCGCCATATTTATTACAACGTTTCGGCCCTTCAGTATCTGTCTATATTTCTGAGATGAGGTATTATGTACACTATTTACATTATTCGGACTATTGTCCTCATCTTTGTCGGCATATTTATTACAACGTTTCAGCCTTTCAGTATCTGTCGATATTTCTGAGATGAGGTATTATGTACACTATTTACATTATTCGGACTATTGTCCACATCTTTGTCGCCATATTTATTACAACGTTTCAGCCTTTCAGTATCTGTCTATATTTCTGAGGTGAGGTATTATGTACACTATTTACATTATTCGGACTATTGTCCTCCTCATTGTCGCCATATTTATTACAACGTTTCGGCCCTTCAGTATCTGTCTATATTTCTGAGATGAGGTATTATGTACACTATTTACATTATTCGGACTATTGTCCTCATCTTTGTCGGCATATTTATTACAACGTTTCAGCCTTTCAGTATCTGTCTATATTTCTGAGATGAGGTATTATGTACACTATTTACATTATTCGGACTATTGGCCACATCTTTGTCGCCATATTTATTACAACGTTTCGGCCTTTCAGTATCTGTCTATATTTCTGAGATGAGGTATTATGTACACTATTTACATTATTCGAACTATTGTCCTCATCTTTGTCGGCATATTTATTACTAAATAGTAATAAATATGGCGACAAAGATCAGGACAATAGTCCGAATAATGTAAATAATGTACACAGCAGAGAGATGCTGGGAATTTTAGAATTTTTTTTTACCCAACTTCATTTGGTGTCTTTTTCTTTACATCACTTTTATAAGTATGAATTAGAAGTCCTGCCAGTAATTGTGAAATGTTGTAAAAGCCAGGATGCAAATTTACTCTAGATGTTGTTCTGATTAAGGTACTCTCTAGACACTTACATGGTAGTGAATTATTTTCTGCTTTGATCAGGGCAGCATTTTTTATGTCAATGTTGTGGTCAGTCTTGTTACAGTGGGAAACCAATGCATATATATATATATATATATATATATATATATATATATATATATATATATATAAGTCTTAATGTGTGCTATATTTATGGGATAAAGTGCTCAATATCAGAGATAGAGTGTGTGTAATTATAAAAGTCAACACTTAGAGGCGACAGTCTGTTTCATGCAAGATTCAATCGTCAGGCCACTACACACACACACACACACACACACACACACACATATATATATATATATATATATATATATATATATATATATATATATATATCATAAAGACAAAAATTGTCCAAGATTTGGAGATTTGGATAGTTGGTCGTTGATCTACGCTTTCAGGTCAAATGAGTCATCTTCAGAATGGTTATACGGACATTTTAACAAAGATATTCACTCTCGAAGGTGATAATTTGAAATGTTGACATACAAGATCGATATGCGATGATAACGGTTGCGGAATTGCAGATGCAGGTCGTAAGTTCAAGCTGCTGTCTATGACGCCGTACCAGGTGAGAGACCGAAATATTAACAACAGAACTGTAGATGTCCTTCTGATTAAGGCACTCTTTAAACATTTATGTCATAGTGAATTATTTCTCCTTTGATCAGAGTAGCATTTTTTATGTTAAAGTAGTGGTCAGTCTTGTTACAGTAGGCAAACAATGCATTTGATGTATTATTTTGTAAAATGTCCCTTTCATGTTGTTTAGATTCCATGAGTACTTTTGTGATAAATATTACAGGAGATGGAATAAAATCCTCCTTCAGGTTGTACCTCATTGTTTTGTTTAGTATTGACTAAGTCTTTTATTGTTTTGGATGTTGTAGTAACATATTTTATGTTGAGTTTAGATAGATTCTTATCAATTGTAGATGTGATAGAATTAGTAGGCAGGTTGACATATTTTTTTGACTAATTGGGTTTCTCAGGAAGGGCCATGTTTTTTTTTTGTTTTAGAATATTTTGTGGGACTTTTGCTTCAAATTGAAGAATTTAATATAAAAATAATAGCGTAATGGAGAAGTTGGAAAGTGTCTTCAATGCATTTCTTTTCTTCCTGTAAATAATCCTTATAATGATATAAAAATAAAAAGATATATCGCTATCTCTCTCTCTCTCTCACACACACATACACACACACACACACACACACATATATATATATATATATATATATATATATAAAAGTGAACATTGAAGTCAATACTCAGAGGTAACACACTGTTTCATGCTAAATGCAATGATCAGGCCCCATATGTTGTGTTTTTCTCAACTATTTATATATGCAGGTCAGTGGTGCATTGTGGGAAGTCTATTCTAATGGTTATTTTGGTGGTAATGAAAATAAATTTTTACAATGTTACTTAAAAATCAAAAACTGAGAAAAATAAATAAACAAAACAAGTAAAAGAAATTAATTCAAATAAATAAAGTAAATAATAAACAAATTAACAACCACTCCTGTCGAAATAAACATTAGAATAGACTAACCATAAAGCACCACTGACCTGTATATATAAATAATTGAAAAAAAAACACAACGCATGTGGCCTGATGATTGTGTTTAGTATGAAACAGTCTGTCACCTCTGAGTGCTGACTATATATATATATATATATATATATATATATATATTTAAATTACGCAAAAATATTTTGAAATACTAAAGTGTAAATTTATTCAATAAAATCCATATTGGCAAGACCTCCAGATGACTTCAGAATCTTCTGAAACTTTTCTAGACAGTCTCCTTCTTTAAGTTGGTGAATGCTGGCATAATCTTTGCCTTCAGTTCATCTTTAGTGTCGCACTGATTTCTTTGGGTCCCTCGCTCAACTGTGCCCCACTCATAATCATCAAGTGAGTTTCAGTCTGATGATTGCATTTAGCATGAAACCTCTGTCGCCTCTGAGTGTTGATTATATATATATATATATATATATATATATATATATATATATATATATATATATAAAAAACCGAATAGAGTATATAAAAATAAACTGTTAGGACTAATAAATATAAACACAAATAAGCAAAAGCAAGTAAAATAAATGACCTAAGGAAATCCGCCTCCATTTTTTTTACCACATAATTAAAACACAGAAAACCAAAAACAATAAATAAATATATAAAATAAAAAATGTAAATAAAAAACAAGTAAAATATATTAACCCAAATAAATAAATAAATAAACATGCCATTCCCGCCAAAATAACCACCAGGATGGATTACCCACAATGCATCACTGACCCATATATGTAAATAGTCGAGGAAAATCCAACACTCGTGGCCTGATGATTGCATCTAACATGAAACAGCCTGTCGCCTCTGAGTGTTGACTTCAATGTTCACTTTTATATTTATATTTACATAAGCTCTATCTCTGAGCACTTTATCCGATAAATATAGCACACCTTAAAACTATATTTCTTCATTATATATATATATATATATATATATATATATATATATATATATATATATATATATACTAAAGTTCACTCAATATAAGACTTCAGGGACACTCAAGTTAGGGGGTACCTATATAATTATAAAGAATTAGGTGTGTCCTATGAATGAAAGATAAAGTTATAGGAAGTGACATTTCTGAAGGTAAGAATGATAAATAATAATAAAACCTTGAATAGTTTAAGCTTGTATCATTCTCTGATGCATCCATGCAAAAGATTTTAGTCAAAGCTTGTAGGATACAAATTAGTGTTATGTTTAGAATAAAATTAAGAAATATTCTTCTTAAAATTATTCTAGCAAAAAGGGTTATGGAAGCAGCAGACATGACAAAAGATTTTATATATTTGGAACCAAGTCGTCTCGCACCTGAATATGAAACAATTGTTTGATATATCGATCTCAGCTTTTTATTATGTATATATCTATCAATTCAGGCCTTTTATCTATCTATCAATCTCGAACTTTTATCTATCACAGCCTTTTATCTATCTATCTATCTATCTATCTATCTATCTATCTATCTATCTATCTATCTATCTATTCAAGCCTTTTATCTATCTCAGCCTCTCATTATTTATCTATCAATTCAAACATTCTATCTATCTATCTATCTATCTATCTATCTATCTATCTATCTATCTATCTATCTATCCATCCCAGCCTTTTATTATTCATCTATCAAGTCAAACCTTCTATCTATCTATCTATCTATCTATCTATCTATCTATCTATCTATCTATTCCCGCCTTTTATCTATCTCAGCCTTTTATTATTTATCTACCTCAGCCTTTTATTATCTATCTATCTATCTATCTATCTATCTATCTATCTATCTATCTATCTATTCCCGCCTTTTATCTATCTCAGCCTTTTATTATCTATCTATCTATCTATCTATCTATCTATCTATCTATTCCCGCCTTTTATCTATCTCAGCCTTTTATTATCTATCTCATTCTTTTTATCTATCTATCTATCTATCTATCTATCTATCTATCTATCTATCTATCCTCGCCTTTTATCTATCTCAGCCTTTTATTATTTATCTATCTCAGCCTTTTATTATCTATCTATCTATCTATCTCTCTATCTATCTATCTATCTATCTCAGCCTTTTATTATCTATCTTTGCAGTTTATATTTATGCATGCACATGCTCACACACATCCTGATATTCATAAATCTTGAAGTTCGATGTTAAAAACAATCTGTACATATCTCTATATGAGTAACTGGCAATAATATTTATGTATGTAGATGTATGGAGATATATGTATGTATTCATTGACTTATTTACTTAACCATTATATGTAACTATGCACAGCTATATATTCATTGTATGAACGTTATAGCAGTGGAATATGTCTGACTCTCTATCTCTCTTGATGGCCCTTTTGAAGAACTTTGACCTAATCCACCAAAGTAACTTCAATTTTCCCATAATGCATTGCTGCAGTAGTAACAAAACATAGAACATAAATCTACTTCATTTTGAACATTAAAGGGTGGAGGTGAGACTTTTTCAAATTTATGAGGCCATCTTTCTTGCACAACTTTTTATTATTTGATTTTTATTTCATATTTTGCCTCCATCTTTTTTTTTATGTGGGCATCTGTTTAGTTTACATCAATATTTACTACATCTTTTCAGCACCTTTTTTGCTTTTTTTTTCACTTACTTTTTCGTTTTTTCCTTTGTCTTTTCCTTCTTATTTTCATTCTCAACCTTTCTTTCTCTTTTCCACTTTTTATTTCTTTCTTTTTATCCTTTTTTTATTTTCTTTTTCTGTACTTTCTTTCTTTGTCTTCTCCCTTTGCCTTTTCCTCTTTTGTTTCTTCCTTTCCTTTCCTTTTTCTTTCTTTGAATTCCTTCCTTTTCTTCCTTCATGACCTTTCTCTGCCATTATTTATTTCTTCAGCCACCAAGAATCCCAGTGGCATATTGATCTTTGTATGACACAAGGCCAATTAATACAAGTTAGAAGATTTTGATAGACAAATCTCCCAAGATGTTTAAGTCTGTTGACATTGAAAATCAGGATTCAAGGTTCATGTGCCTTACCTGAATTCAGATTATGCAGTAATGTCACGCTCATAGGAAATACACAACTCTCTAACATACCAAGTAGGCCCTGAAGTGAGAGTTTTTTTTTTTACTAAAGCTATCCTTATCTGGTACAAGGCTAAAATAGTGGGAGCGTTTCTGTATATTGTATTCAGTTGAATGTTAAAAGTATGTGAGATCTGCTCGTTGACCATCACACTACAGCAGAAATGCACTTCTATGTTTTCGTAGTATTTTGAAATATCCAAACTATATTCAGACACAGAATATTCAGGATGTATTTTTTAACTTTATCAAAAATAATACAAATTGAAATATGTTTGTATGCTTGAGTAGCATATCTATCTATCTATCTATCTATCTATCTATCTATATATATATATATATATATATATATATATATATATATATATATATGTGTGTCTGTGTGTGCGTGCATTTATTTGTTTGTATATGTGTATACTGTTTTACTATGTGCAGATGAAGAGAAATAAAATGAGAAGTATATATAGAGGTAGATAGAATGGAAAAAAGAAAGATAGACATGAACAGGCTGAGATAGATAGATAGATAGATAGATAGATAGATATGGACCCATAGAGATAGAGAGGCAATGGACAGAATAAGGTAGATAAATCAACTCATAGACAAATATGAAAAGAATGAGATACTTAGATAGACTCTGAAAGACAGAAAACTATGAAAAATGACATAGATATGAAAAGACTAAAATTGAGAGATAGATAAATAGATAATGGTCTGGCCGTGAGAGATAGATAGAAACAGACTGCAATGAATAGATATAAACAGAATGCAATAAATAAATAGATACATAGATATAAACAGACAGAAATAGATAGATAGATAGATAGATAGATAGATAGATATAAACAGACTGCAATAAAAAGATATGAACAGATCACATGAGATAGATAGATATGAATAAACAATAATAGATAGATATTAACAGGCCACAATAGGTAAGTAGTTAAGTATATAGATAGATAGGCATGAACAGACTTCAATAGATAGACAGATTACAACCGATTTAGACATATATATATATATATATATATATATATATATATATATATATATATATATATATATACACACACATATATATATATATATATATATATATATATATATATATATATATATATATATATATATATATATATAGATAGATAGATAGATAGATAGATAGATCAGATTATACATGTTATATAGAAACACATGTAATGCTTACACCCATTGAATTTAGTTCATGCCGGTACAAAAATCTATTCTCACACTCTTTTCAAATTCAAGGAATATTTGCCTGCAACAACCATCTGAGCTCAAAATCAAATTCTATCAGCTGAAGACAACAAGACAAAATTTATGCTATACTTCCCAAAGTTTATCAGATTTACTTTCTTCATGGACAATCTTTTCAAAACAGTTGCCTCAGAAATAATATTTGCTTTGGGGGAAATGCAAACATTTTTTCTCAAATGAGAATAAGGACATAGAAGTTTTTGAAAAGTTGTTTAAAAAAAGATCTTAGCAATCTCTTGCATACTAATGACTATTTGGTCAGGACTAGTAAATATAATGTTGTAAATGGGATTTATTGAAATTATAATTTCTGCATGCATTTACATATTTTGGTTGAAAGTGGATATGAATGTGTAATAATCACTGTAAATGTAGGAAGAGGCAATCTGGTGAGTAAAGAAGTACTGAACTTTGTTTTAATCAAGATATCTGGTGAGTAAAGAAGTACTAAACTTTGTTTAAATCGAAATATCTGGTGAGTAAAGAGGTACTGAACTTTGTTTTAATTGAGATTTCTGGTCAGTAAAGAAGTACTGAACTTTGATTTAAAAAAGATATCTGGGGAGTAAAGAAGTACTGAACTTTGTATTAAACGAGCTATGTTATGAGTCTGTTCAAAAACTAGCAAGCATATTTTAATCTTCAACTAATTGTTGGGCTTTGATATAACTTGGCAACCAATCACAAGAAACCTACTATGTATGTATGAACAGAAACTCTCCTGTTGGGTTACCCAGTTACTAATAACACACTAGTGAGTGAGCTCAAGTGACAATCACGTTCATAATGACCTCAGTGAGTAGATCAGTAAAATCTATGGCTAAGTTGAAAAATAAGGTAATTTCAAATTTTTCAAACTAAATAAAGGGTTCATTTAAATATTCAACCACCTAAAGAAGACCGGCGCATACAACGGCCCAAAGTTTGTGATAAATATGGAAACAAAGATGAAGACAATAGTCAATTCTAGTTTTTAAGCACAAAAATAACTACACTTTCTTTATATGGTTAAACATATTTTTAGTTTTGTCATGTTTTTGAGAATTGCCTTAAAAAAGTTTTAGCCAATTTATTCTTCAGTTCTTAAATTATTTTGGATAAAGAAACACCTTTAAATGAGACGATTTTGCTTTTTATATCTCAGGAGTTCGTCCTTCATGGACAACGCTGTAACCAATTAGGTCACTAAACTTATCACAGGTAGGAAAAGTAGGTTTTTCATTTCACAATGTAATGAAACCTTAAATGCGTCACCACGAGAGAGTCTGAAAAGTTCTGTTTCACTTAAAATTGGTTTTCCGATTCCTAGAGCAAATCACAAGAAATTATAATTATTAGGGATACCTGAATGCGAGATTGAGAGGGATGGTGAAATAGTTGGCAAATTCGAACTAGTAACCCGCAACGAACGTAGAGAAAAAATTGGTGCAATTGTGCTTGTTGACTGATCAGGTAGTAGCCATCACCTGGTTCCAAGAACACCCAAGAGGCATATGGACACGGAGAAGCCCAGGAGGTGAAACGAAAAACCAAATCTGCTACATATCTATCAACAAGAGATTCAAGAATGCAGTTGGACCTTGCAAAACGTATCCAAGTGCCGAAAATTCAAGATCTGTTACAGCTACTCAGCAACCTTGACAGATTTTGGAAGGACATTAGAATAATCCAGAACCTGTAATGGCAGAAAACCACCTGCATACGAATAGAAAATGAGTTCAGCAGATACAAAAAACTAGAAAGTGGTGTAAGATAAGGATGTATTTTTTTAGCATTTCATTCCAAGCGAAGCAAGAATGCCACTAGCACGCAAGGGTTTACAGAGAGTGAAAGTAAGAATAAACAGAGTTGTTTCAGGAAAAGATATAGAGAAGGACGGCTATCAGGATCAAGGCACCATCAGATGTCGGGGAAGCAAGTAAGAGGAAGGGAGATCCACTGTCGGGAAGTGCAAGAGAAGAAGCTGTTGAAGTAGAATGTGGGTAGGATCTTGATGCCAACCTTGTAGCATGCTTAAATTCATGCAGTTTGGGGTACCCGTGAAAGAAGCTCGTTAGAGCAGTTGCCATGAAAATATTTGTAGAAAAGACAGAGGGAAGCCACAGCTTGTCTGCGAGAAAGTAACTGGAGTCGTGATGCCAGGTCAGAACCTAACACATTGCGTATAGGTCTTCGGATTTCGAGATAAACAGCGAGGGCACCAGGCCATATATGGCAACAGTATTTAATTCATGGACGAATGGTAGATTTTAAGGATGGACTCAGACTCAGAGATCCTTCTGGATGTGTCTTTTCATCGGATTTGTCCAACCAATACAGAGGCAAGTCTGAGAGAATTAGATCTTGTCGGGATTTGTTATTGGCAGCCACAATCTTAACAACAAAAGATATGCAGATGACACAGTGTTGATAGCAGACACGGAAAGGAAAAATACAAAAACTCCTACAGAATGTAGCGAAGGAAAGCGAGAAGAAAGGACTAAATATAAACTACAAGAAGACAGAATATGCAAATTACACATCTGGGACACTAAAATCAAACAATTACAAAAATTTAAATATCTGAGACATGTTCTAACAGAGGACGGAGAGTGCATTGAGATGCCCGAAGATGCCTTCCAAAAGCTACGCAGAGTATTAAGAGACAGAAACACTTCATTAAAAACAAAGAAAAGTGTACTGAACTATCACCTGAGATTTATCCCCCCTGTATGGAAATGAATGTTGGACAATCTCCTCAAGCAGGAAGATGTTGCGGATACCATGGAACGAACATGAGAGCAACGACGAAGTTTTAGAGAAAATGGAAACAAAAAGGAAACTTATACTTAATACCAGGAAGAGGCAGTTGAAATTTTTGGGAACGTAATGAGGACTCCTTCCTCATCACGTACCCCATAAATTTCAAACGGAAATTCATGAATCAGAATCTCATAGATGGTGTTTATCTCTATGCTAGGTCTACTGAGGAAGTTGTCAGATACAAACATGTCCGCTGGTTCTTTGATTCACCTTTTCCTCGAGTGTTGTGGCTAGTCCGTTATTTCACTGAATTCCACGAGGGGATTGTAGAATGAAGTCGACAATGGAATATTGTAGCAATCACTCTTAATCTAAAAATGCCGCCATAAAATATCAAAATTGTTAAAATCATTGTATGACATTCAAGACGAGTATATGCGTTTTGATAGTGTTTAAGCGAATAAATTTCTGTACAAAGGCGGTTTCGGCGTAGGATAATGGGTAGTGTGATTAATCTGCTTAACCATACTATTATCACTTGTTGTCCGCCATATATAATTTGACATTAACCTTTTGAGCCCTGACTAATCCAGTGGTAGAGAAAAATGACGTAATGACCTGCTACCAGTATACACTTGTAACTATTTTTGTATCTACCATGAAACATTACATACCAATTATTTACGAATTTTGTCTCAGGAGCTCAGGCAGAAGGATTAAAATTGTTCAGGAACGCAGGGCTCAACATCCAAAAGCTTAGAATAAACGCTACTTATTATTAAAATGAAAACACAAAAATAAAATACATTTTAAACAGTGAAAATAAGAAGAGAAATTAACAACACCTAAACAACTCCCCATCCCCTTGAGCTTTAGTTGGTTCAGTTATCATTGATTGCTCCTCCGCTGTATCCTTGTGCCAGACAATCTTAAGTTTAGGAAATAAGTTTTAAATAATTTATAAATATTTGTAAGGGTAAAGAATATTTATGTATCAACTTCGATCTTATAATTTAAAATTATGCTTTTAGACGGGTTACAATAAAATGATAATAGACGGAAAGATATTTTATTTAACACTTGAGCCCTGACCACCGTTTTACCGGTGATAGAAAAAATGACGTAATGCCCAACCACCGGTTGAACAGTGGTAGAGAAAAATGACTTAATGCCCAGCCAGCGGATAAACACTTGTAACTATTTTTATATCTACCGTGAAACATTACATACCAATTATTTGCAAATTTTGTCTCAGGAGCTCAAGTATAAGGAACAAAATTGTTCAGGAACGCAGCACTCAAAAGTGTAAGTAACACAACGTTTCACAGGTCATATTCCAGCCGTGTTCAATTTTCAAAAGCTTGGAATAAACGCTCCTTATTATTAAAATAAAAACACAAAAATAAAATACATTTTAAACAATGACAATAGGAAGAGAATTTAACAACATCTAAACAATTAGATGAACGGTGGGTAAACACTTGTAACTATTTTTATATCTACCGTGAAATATTAGATACCAATTATTTATGAATTTTGACTCTGGATCTCAGGCAAAAGGGTTAAAATTGTTCAGGAACACAGGGCCCAAAGGGTTAAGACAATAGTGTCTATAATATATCTAATTCATAAAAGCAATTAAATGCTTTTCCAATTAAATAATATCTTAGTTTTATTGTATTTTTCATTTTATGATTCATTTTAGTTGTCTTCTTTGGGTAGACTGGGACACAAAGAAAGAATTCTGGCGATAAAGTGAAGGCATGCACTCATAATCTCTCCCTGCTAAATATAATGCTTATATTTTTTGTAACTATTTTTATATCTGCTGGGAAACATTACATATCAGTTATTTGTGAATTTTGTCTCAAGTATGAGATAAAATTGTTCAGGAACGTAGGACTCAAAGGGTTAAATAACTGAACAAAGTTTGACAGGTCATAAACTCAACTGACCAACTAACAATGTCTGTAGGTTGACAAAATGAAGGTAGAGATTAATCGGACAAAAAGCTCAAGTTCAAAAGAATGCTGAACAGGTGGACTTACCTCAAGACAGTACTGCACATCAATTATCTTGCATCCTCGCAGGTGTGAAGGTGGGACTGTGGGAATGCTCAAGAGTTCTCTCTGCCACGTCTGTTTCCCCCGTGGACTGATTCCACTTTTGTGAATGGTTACTAACACAGTTGATTCTGAGAACCGACCCCGATACGAATAATATGTCACGTTCTGCAAGAAATAATAACATGAAAACCTTTTCAGAAAAGTGAAAAAAAAAAAACTTAACAATTGAATGCAGTGAAAATAACATTTCACAACTCCTGAGAAAAATGAATTTCATTTATGTATATTTCTAAGAAAGCTTTTGCTAAATTGATATTAAGTACAGATTTGTATTTCTAATTTCTGACTAATAAATCCGTAGCCTGACAGTTGAAATAAAAATTTCTTTTTAATAAGCTACGGAATTACTCTCTCTCTCTCTCTCTCTCTCACACACACACACACACATATATATATATATATATATATATATATATATATATATATATATATATATATATATATATACAAAAATGATATTTTAGATACCTTTCGGCCAACACTTTTTCAAAGGTATTCGTTGGCGATTTGGAATACAAATGAAGACACATTCAATAAAGTAAATGAGGAGGAAAAGGTGGAATACGATTGTATATATATACAAAAAATGATTTGCACTCACAGAAATGAAACATAGCTTTAAACAACACAGACGTGATACCTTAGGTATGTTTATCGTAAAATAATATCGAATATTAAAGAAGGTGAAAATAATTTTTAAAACTGCATGCTGCCATTAGCAAATTTAGTTGCTCAACGCTGAAACGATTCTTAAAACCCCCGAGTCATAATGGTCTGGAGTTTGAAATGAAAATAAAACCTTGAACTTAATTCCTTATTTATTTTTGAATGTCCTGGCACTAATGATATATTCTCATCATCATAAATAATAAAATATATAATTTATAATTTTATAGTAAGTATAGAATTTGATGTAAAACTTCCGAGTCACGACTTTATTTCGTCTCCATGTCATTAAATTCTTGACGAGATAAAGAATATTGCATTGATTCAAATAGAATATATTCTCATGAAAAGAAGTCAGACACTTACGCAGTATAAGGATGAATTGCCTACACCAACGCCATTATCTTATTTGACAAAGAAATGTTTACGAGGTCTGTCATGATGGCGGGGATAACTTTGCGATTTTTATTTCCTGAAAATAGTCTTTTTTTCTTGACCGTTTAAACTTTAAAATTAATGTCTGTAACAATCTACATTTTCATCAAGTATCAGTAATTGTTGATGATGGAGACATTATTAATTCAGACGCTTATCAGAGTGAATTCAAGTGCCAATCTGTCATAAAAAAAGATTTTTTACATGTAAATTCACTTCTAAATTCTTGTAGTCTACCATCGAAATTGTCCTTCAAACTGTTTGAGAGTTTCCTACTGCTTTGAAGATCAGAATTCAACATTTCTGCTTTAACTGTATTTGAACACCGATCTACGACGCCATTGATAGTAAGATTCAAAAACAAGTCGAAGCCACGCAGATATTGATTGATTACAATTTGGAATTTTTTTTTCTGCATTTGTTTTTTATGCTGCTAGGTTTTGATGAATAATGTTATCCAAAATTGACAGAATGTGTATTTAGAAAAAAAGAAAAATGAAACATTTTCGCCTACAACATCGAAAAATATTGTTTGTAGGCTGGTAAAAGTGAAAGCAAGTATCTTGACCTTGACGAGCATTTTGCCTAAAGTATGTTACCCAAACCCCAAAGATTAGTCTTGTAAAAAAATACTTACTGTAATTTGAATGTCAGAATAAAGTAAGAGCAACTCGGAAAAAAAATGGCATTTGGCTAAAAATTGAGATTCACTAATAATAGTTTTAAGCCTTTTGGATATAAAAATGTCAGAGCTAAGATTAACCTTTTGAATTTATTATCTTTAGTCTTCAACAGAATAGAATATGAATTCAGCATGAAAAGAAACTTTGTAAGCTTTTAGTTTTAGTGATTGGATGAGATTTACAACGAGAAAGTGCAGTGGGGGGGGTCTCTGTATCTCTTTGTGAAGAAGGTCGTTGCCTTATACTGGGTTTCTCTTTTTGTCTTGAAGAAAAATCATAAAGGCAGAAACAAAATAATTTCTATTGTATTGTAACTCTCATGGCTCGCCATTAGAAGATTTTTGCCGCATCAGGTTGCATTTCATAAAAAACCGTCACAATCTGCTTTGTCTAGTACATAATGGAACATCTTTAAAGTATATCTTATTGGCTTTGTCATAAGATGCATTTTATCAAAACAACTCCCAAACTTCTATCTTGGTAGGTTGGTTGGTTCCATGGTACGACAATCGTTGAGCTATCTTGATGTACTTTGGTTGTTCAGAAAATCTAAGTAGGTAAATGCAGTTACCCTTTCGCCAAATTATGCTTTCCAAGTAAATTGGAACAGTATTTACATTAATCAAACTATTGTCCTCATCTTTTTTGCCATATTTATTACAACGTTTCAGCACTTCAGTATCTGTCTATATTTCTGAGATGAGGTATTATGTACACTATTTACATTATTCGGACTATTGTCCTCATCTTTGTCGCCATATTTATTACAACGTTTCGGCCCTTCAGTATCTTTCTATATTTCTGATATGAGGTATTATGTACATTATTTACATTATTCGGACTATTGTCCTCATCTTTGCTGCCATATTTATTACAACGTTTCGGCCGTTGTACGCTCCGGCCTTTTTCAGGTGGTTGGAATGTCGAACTGAACCTTTTATTTCGCTCACTAGGTTAGACTGTTCTAGTTCCACGTGCCATGTTTTAATTGATGTCAGTTATCAGTTATCTCTTGTTAATTCCCTTCTTCAAGTTCTCCACTGCCTTAACCGAGTATTGAACTCACACTCTTTGGGTTCTGTCAGTTAGTTAGATCCAGTGACAGGACCCAAAGAGTGTGGATTCAATACCGGTTAAAACAGTGGATGAAAAAAAGAGGGAATTAACAAGAGATAACTGATAACTGACATTCGTTAAACATGGCACGTGGAACTTGAACATCTACCCCATCGACACTAAATTTTGAATAATAAACTTGTTATATTGTAGTTTCGGGTTAATTCGTTTTGTTTCAATGCTGATCATATACAGAATATTCGGATACTACATTTAATTAAGACAAAGGGGCAAAGATTTAAGACGTATCACTGACACGGTCCTAAATTTTGAATAAAAAAATCGTTATGTCGTAGTTTTCGGGTTAATTAATTCGTATAACAAAATCTCTTTCAAAGAAAATTTTGTTTGTAAAATGGAATTGAGTTAAGAAAGAAAATGAGATAGTGTTATGAGACCTACCTTTATGGACTAAATGGACTCGTCCTATTACTATATATACGGGTAGATTATGCCTCTCAAGAGAGCTGTCTCCAGTTGACCTGTTCCAGCTAAACAGTCGAACTCTCTGCCTTCGGGTGGAGAGGAACCCGGACGAGGTTCCGCCAAAGGTCAGAGTCTCGTTCGGGGAGGTTGACTACCCCTGAACCCGTTTATGCGGGTTCAAAGAGGGATTATTTTTGGCCGAGCCTACGGGCTCAGAGATCCCACGTTAAACCGGCCTTGTGCCACATGTAGCCCTCGTGGGGGGTAACTAAATATCGCTGTCTATAGTTGACGATTTGACTACTGTACTTTGCCGTCAGTCGGACGTGCAACACTTTTGTATTCGTTCTTTTTGTTTAATAATATGTTTTCACTAAATTGCTGAGTTCGAGTTTTCATTCGGATATATTCTGGGTCCACAACAGTTAGATACATGCATATATGCCAGTGTCTATGCTAAATACATTTAATGATCAATAATTTGGTTTGGAAAATATCTTCATTTATACCTGTTTTTAAAACATATTTTGGCCGGTCAGCTATCATTCCTTTCCCAAGTGAACAACTTAATCATTGGTGGGGTTTGTTGACCTTATTTTTGCTTATATATCAGCTGTACGTTATTCTCAAGTGTTTAGCCATTTTTCTTGTTACTGTCTGGGTTTTGTAAGACTATGAAGTCATAGAAACCTTACAGAAGTTTAAGAACACGTCTGCTCTAAGTTGAATTTTCTGTGGGATATATGAAATGGGAGCATCACTTAGAATGAAACTAAATCCTCAAGACACACAGACACAAACACACACACACACACACACACACACACACACACACACACATATATATATATATATATATGCAGAGTGAGAGAAAGAGATTATAAAAATTATTCATCAGTTTGCGTCATCTCAAATTAAATCTACACACACATGTACATATATATATATATATATATATATATATATATATATATATATATATATATGAAATCATGTATAAGAAAATAATTTTAAATAGTACTTGACTGCTTGACTTTCGCAAAATTATTGGAAAACTTGTTGACAGCCATAAATTATGATTTGCATATGGAAGTACTGATGATACATAAAACCAATATTACTGTATAGAGTAGCATCATAAAAAATGCCTGTTTATTAATGTTATGGAGACATACGAGGAAAGACTGAAAAAATAATCTACAATGGGCTTCCACATCTATTTCCATTGAACGACCTTCGACCAAGTAGGATAAACGTGATTATAAAAATCTATAGAAATAAATCGATATTCGATGGAGGTAATGTTTAAAATGGTTCGCATCATTTTGAAAATAGACGAAGTGATTTATATCTAGGCTCACCTTAGAAAATAATTAAACTTCATATATATATATATATATATATATATATATATATATATATATATATATATATTGACTCTCCGTCGTATTCGACGTATGAGGGTCAGCAACTGAGTTCCTAGGAACCAATAGCCAGGCACCATGACATATGATTTGATTATAGTGGTGAAGGCTTTGTGCAGAACCCACCACACTTTTTGAAGGACCGAATACAGAGACCTGTTGCACTACGTGCGATTAGGAGCCCAAACAACACTCCGCAGGTTTTGAATTCAGCGTTGTCCTTCTCTTAGAGCAGTTGCCATCCAAGACTATAGAACCCCATTTTGTTCTGCTAATTCCCATAGCTGGAGGGAGAAGAAGAGGATTCATACCTTTTCCCAAGAGTATTAGCATGTAATTGAATGCAATACAACACACACACACACACACACACACACACACACACACACACACACACACACACACACACACACACGCATATATATATATATATATATGTGTGTGTGTGTGTGTGTTATAAATTAATTGATTTAAAATATGTTTTTCTCTACACAGTAATAACCGTGTTTCAAAAATGGAAGCTAAAAATTTTAAATTAAATTATATAATTAAATTAAAAGCATTAGTTCCGTTTCACATTCAAGCGAATATTGGAATAACTTATTTTTAAATTTACTAAATTAAATTTATATGTGCGTTTAAAACTCAGTAAATTTAAAAATACTACTGAGTTTTAAAAAAATAATTTAGTAAATTTAAAAAATAAGTTAATAATAATTCTTTTAATTTAAAGTTTTTAGCTTCCATTTTTGAAACATGGTTATTACTGAGTAGCGGAAAAAACACATTTTCAATCAGTTAATTTATAATATTCATGCTCTCTAAATTTACATTGAGCACTGTTTTGTGAAATAAAATAAAAATCTCAATAAGTGCACCGGATTATATATCTTCCTGTTCTTTATATATACATATTAAAGACATTTTTATGTTTAACATTCTTTTTATAGATACAAGTATTTAAGTAAATGCTCTGTTTATAATAAACAGTATTAAATAACATTTACCGGCCTGAATGTCCGAGAAATTTTCATAGAAAATATTCGTCTTTTGACAGGATTCGAACCTGCATCCTATACGGAACCGTCATTTACGCTGTGTCATTTGGCCGAGTCGGTTAAGGCACGTGTCGCTTCCATTTCTGAGTGAAGACCGAGAAAAGAAACCACGTTTTCCTTTTTTTTTTAGAACCCGTGGTTCATCTATATGCTACAAGTTCGTAACAATATATATATATATATATATATATATATATATATATATATATATATATATATATATATATATATATATATATATATATATATATATATATATATATATATATATATATATATATATATATATATCAGTCCTAATCCAGCCAAAAGAGAAAACATAAAAATATAAAAGCAAAAGAAGAACCAAGACAAAATTAAAAGAAAACAATAACTGCCGACGAAAAAAAAAAAAAATCCTAACGTGTTCATCAATAGTTCTAGAAATGAAACGAAGACATAGCTGTAACATTAACAAACACGAAATAACTCTCAGGGATTCTGATCTAAAATACTTTCCCTCACAGTTCAAAATAGATATTCGTGTTGTATTTCATCAAATGATTTTGCCCAGTCTTTGAAACATAGGTCGACGTCCTCTGTGAACTTGTATTGTGCTATCTGATATCATTCAGACTATAAATAGCTCATTTCTTCCATTATCTTTAAGGCAGCCATATTGGCTTTGTCCTATTTCCAGTTTAATTATGTTATTTGAAATTCTAATGCTGTATCCATCGGAATTTCGATGATAAGCTTAGTTATATGGCTGATTAAGCTGATCATACGATGAAGCTCATATTCATGTTCTCCTGGCCTATCTACGAAGGTAAACCTACTAAAGTTTACCGATCTACGAAGATAAATATACTAAGATTTACTGATCGATGAAGA